TCAAAGGACAGTCTCTTCTCCCTAAATTACAGGGAAAGTCATCCAGGGCTGAAATTTATGCATTAGCATCAGACAAAACATCTTGATCCCTGACGCTCAGAGGCTGTTTGAAGGAGAGGTGGAACCGTCCACATCCAGACCACATCCCAACCCTGGCAGGGCAGGAGGCCACCCCTTTGATGCAGGAGGCATCAAATCCATTGCCCTCTCCTCCAAGCCCTTTGGCAGGGTCTCCTCTCTGACCCTTTTTGGTTGGAATTCCCAGCTGAGTCTGGGCTGTGCCAGCTCTGCCCCTGCGCTGTGCAGTTCCCCGGCAGTGCCCAGGTGGATGCAGGAACTTCCCTGGGATAAGCCCTGGTGCCCATTCACTGCCACACCAGGACCTGCAGCATCTCTGTCCCCCTCCAGCTTTGCTACAGCCAGACACACCCAGAGCTGAAGGACCAACTTTTAGCTATTTTTGCAAAAAACCCAATGACTCAGAAGAGATTCCCCCGGGCTGACTATGGCGTGAACGCGGCTGTGGAGGCACCTCACCTCATGCCAAGCAGGAAATACTGCACAGGTGGTTACAGCTGGATGAGCCACCTGGGAGGAATCACTCCAAGGATCCAAGGCCTCGGGATAAATGGCATAAGCACCGTGCTGGGCATCGCTCTGAGTGCACAGGGCACACCTGGGCGTCACAGCACGCACCTTGTCCCAGGGCAGAATTAAACAAATAAGTAAAGAGCATTTTGCAAGCCACACAAGGCGGTTCACAGAAACTCGGGATAAGTCCAAACCAGACAAACCAGTTTAGAAAAGCCCCAAACCCTCTCCAATCAGGACACCCTGGGGTTGGCCCCGGGGGCAGAGGAGGGGAGATGCCTCTCCGGGATGTCACTGCTGGTGGTGCCACCGCGGTCACCCACCCGGCACTGGCAGTATCTGTCATGTATTTATTACACATTAACCAGAAAGTTTACAAATCTTGGGGCCAGCAAGATCATTTTCACATTTTTCACATTCTTTCACATTTTCACGCCTGCCTGGAGAGCAAAGCAGTGGCCGGAGCCCAGAAAAACCTGACGCCCTTTGAAGCACGTCCAGCTGTGCCGTCCCCCGCTGGCACCCGGGGCTCACACCCCACCCGGGGTGTCACAGCTCTGATCTCCTGCCCAAACCCACACTGATGGCCCCGTTCTCCTGCTGGAAGTCGCAGCAGGCATCCCCATCCTGGCTGCAAGGAGTAGGGAGATAAGGACACATCAGGGGATGAGAAATTCAAACTGGAGCAGGCACCCACTGTTATCAAGGACCACTCCAGGGGCTCCCAGCATTGCCCCTTGAGCCAGCCAGGGTCAGGGAAACTGAGGCAGGAGAGCAGAAGTGATGGCTCAGGTTGTGCACTGACCCCATGGCTGCAAAGTGATGCAGGATGGGGACACATCCCCATGGTGTGGCTCCTGACACTGACCCTGACCCCGCTGACAATGCCCAACCACAGCCTGGAGGGGATGGATATTGAGACAGACAGGCTTTCAAGGGGGAGAAAATAAACAAACAAAATAAAAAATCTATGTTTTCTTTGCAAATTAAACTTGCACAGATTTTATGCTTGATTCAAGCACAGAGAAGGGCAGCAGGTGCCTCGTGAGGGGTTTATCCATGGGGCAGAGGGTACAGGAGCTCTGTGCCTGCCCCATTGGGCCTCCTCAGTCCTAACATGTTTACCAGCTAAGCTCCATTCCTGGTACAACTGTCCTGACAATGCTCTGAACAGAGTCAGGACTTTATTCCAGGAAGAGGTTTTCTGCTGGAATAGTTTATACTAGTTCCCCTAACAGAATAAAGCAGCACCGACAAAAACATACTTCTGCAGATTTACCAGGATTTCTGCCAGCTCCTGGGACAGGAGAATGTTTTTCACCCATCTCGCTGCTGGGTCTTTCAGAGAAAACATTTCACATGCCGAGCAGGGCCGGGCAAACCCCGGCAGAATAAATGAACTGGAAGTCCCGGAGCCATCCGGCGGCGCAGCTCAGGGGCCCGCGCTCCCCTTCCCTCCGCAGCCCGCCCTACTTCCCAGCTCCCGCCTGATTTATGCCCACCGACAGGAGGCTCGCTCTGCTTCCCTGGGGATTACAGAGCTCTCCAACACCAGCCACGCTCCCGGGCTGCAAAAGTCCCCGGGATGATGGAGAAGCACGTCCCGGTGCCAGCGCTGCCAGGGATGGGACGGACCCACAAGGGATGTGCCGGGGCAAAGAACGCTGGCAAGACACAGCCAAGCCAAGCAGCAGGGAAATCCCTCCAAAGTGGGCGAGCAACTCAGGAGGAAAAGGATTTTACAGCAGGGCTGGGAAGCCCTGAACTGGAGAGCCTGCAGCCACCATCCCCCTTCCCCCCACAGGGCCCCTCCAGTCCCCATCGCTCCCCGAAGCCTTGTTGCTCTTGGAAGGCCAAGAGGAAAGGAATTAGAAGGTGAGGCAGAGACAGATGCAAAGGACTGACAAGAAATACCAAGGAGTAAATCGCTTTGGGTTTTTCATGCCAGAGATATTTGCATTCTTATTTCTCCCCTGGAGGCACAAACCTCTTTTGTTGTCCCATAACCACTTGCACTGTCGATGCCAGGAAGAATTTCAGCATGGGGAGGGTGACCCATTTCCAAGGAAAAGCCTGTGTAACGGGGATATCAGCTCTGCAAGACCAGAGGGGTGGTCACCCTTTATCTGTGCCCCTGAAAGGCAAGATATGGATAAAGTGCAACCACCTCAGAGGAACCTCGGGTTTCCTTGGAAGAAGGGGTTTTCCTGTGGGACAGGGTGACACAAGGTTCCCAAGGACACACAGGACACAGTCTCATGGTCGAGTATTTGGATTTCAGATGGATTTCAGCCTGTTTAGGACTGTTTAGGGACTGTGAGGAGTGAAGCTGCTGGAATATCCCTCCAGCACTTGCTGGAGGCAGTGGCTCTTGGACCAGCATTGCTGTGAGAAACCAGCAGCAGCTTTTCCAAAGTTCCCAAACGAAAGCAGTAGCTAGTTTGCCTCATTTTGGGAGATTTGCAGAATTTTGCCCCTACTGCCCTTCGCTGTGCCACCCCACTAGCCATCCCATTGTGACAAAAGAAGGGAAAAGCAGGAGAAGGGACTCCAGCCAAACCAAACACAGCAGCCCTTGCACTGAAGGAACATTTTAACCTGTTTAACATTTATACTGTTTCCAGGGGTGTGAACCAGGATCCCCGGGTTCCACATTAACCCACAGCAATCTGTGGTGGGGTCCCGGGCCAGCACAGTGGGCAGACCCCAGGAGGGCAGGTGAGGAGGGGTCTGCCCACTGTCCCAATCTGAGCCCTCTGCTATTCCCTGCAGGCAAAAGTCACTGGCCCACAAGCCACAAGGAATGGTGCAAGGCTCCAAAACCCCTTGGCAGCATCCATCTGCTGCACTGGGATGCAGCAGCAGCAGTGGCTGTGGCACAGCGAGCCCCAGTGCTGTCAGGTTTTTTCCTCCTTTTTACTGATTTCAAGGAAATTTAGAGGACTTAAGTTAGTTGCTTTAGTTCCATCCCTCTTTGCCAAGCACTGCTGGGCATGGGAAGAAAAATACAACTAAAGGAGATGGTTTCCCCTAAAAAGTCAACCAAGGGAGATGTTTTTCCCTAAAAAAATGCAACTAAGGGAGATGCTTTCCCCTAAAAATTCGAGCAAGGGAGATGCTTTCCCCTAAAAGTACAGCCAAGGGAGATGTTTTCTCCTAAAAACGCAACAAAAGGAGGTGTTTTCCCTTAAAAATGCAGCTAAAGAACATGTTTGTCCCTAAAAATACAACTAAAGGAGATGGTTTCCTCTAAAAAAATGCAATTAAAGGACATGTTTTCTCCTAAATGTGCAACTAACAGAGACGGTTTCCCCTAAAAATTCAACCCAGGGAAATGTCTTTCCCTAAAAGTACAACTAAGGGAGATGTTTTCCTTTAAAAAATGCAACTAAAGAACATGTTTTTCCCTAAAAATGCAACTAAAGGAGATGGTTTCCTCTAAAAAAATGCAATTAAAGGACATGTTTTCTCCTTGAAAAAAATGCAACTAATGGAGATGGTTTCCCCCTAAAAATTCAACACAGGGAGATGTTTTTCCCTAAAAATCCAACCAAAGTAGACCTTTTTCCCTAAAAACTCAACTCAGGGAGTCCTTTTTCTCTAAAAATTCAACCAAGGGAGATGCTTTTCCCTAAACATTCAACCCAGGGAGTCCTTTTCCCCTAAAAATTCAGCCAAGGGTGATGTTTTCTCCTAAAAGTGCAGCTAAGGGAGATGGTTTCCCCTAAAAAATTCAACCAAGGGAGATGTTCTCCCTCAAAAATGCAACTAAAGAACACGTTTTTCCCTAAAAATACAACTGAAGGCGACTGGTTTCCCCTAAAAGTTCAACCAAGGGAGCTGCTTTCCCCTAAAAGTACAACTAAGGGAGACGGTTTCCCCTAAAAAATTCAAGGCAGGGAGACGTTTTCACCTAAAAACGCAACGAAGGGAAACGTTTTCCCTAAAAACACAGCTAAGAAACACGTTCCCTCTACAAACGCAATGAAGGGAGACGTTTTCCCTAAAAACACAAACTGAAGGACATGTTTCCCCTAAAAACGCATCATGCGCTGCACTCAAAGGGGACAAGGACACTCTGGCACCCTCAGGGCGGGGGTACTTCCATAGGCGCTCACCCCCACCCGCATCCCCATCCGCGGGGATGCTCCAGCGGCGCATCCCGGGGACCCGCTCGGGCACCTGCTCCCCGCGGGGCGCGGGTCCCTGCGGCAGGTGCGGGGCTGGCTGGGGGATCTCTCCCTGTCTCTCTCTCTCTCTCTCTGTCTCTCCCGCCGCCTGCACCGCCCCTCCCCGCACACCGGTGCCGCGCTGGGCGAGCCGGCCGGCGCCGCCACATGGGCGCTGCGGAGCCGCCGGCGGAGACCGCTCCAGCCGGATATAAGGGCTGGGAGCGAGCACCGAGCAGCAGCAGCAGCCGCCGCCGCGGGCAGCGGAGCAGCAGCGGCCGGCGGGCAGCGGGGCCGCCTCCTCGCCGAGGGTCGCCCGCCCGCTCGCCCTCCCCGGGCCATGGGCAGCCCCTGACCCCGCCGCAGCACCGGGTGAGTGGGGCTCCCTCCCTCCCGGGGGAGCGGGGTGGGGGAGGGCTTTGTTTCTCTCTCTCTCTCTCTTTTTTTTTTTTTTCCCCCCCCCCCTTTCTCATTTTTTCCTCTTTTAAACATTATTCCCCTCTCCCCTCGTCCGCATCCCTGTATTTTTAGCCCGCGGCCCCGGCGATGCAGGAATCAGGGCTGAAATGTTGGGAAAGTGATGCAGGGAAGGGGGGGCCACGCAGGGCCCCTGCGCGCTCCGGCTTCTTAGGCCCCTGCGCGCTCCGGCTTCTTAATTTTCAGCTATTTTCCCCCCTCCATCGCCATTTCTTTTAATCTTTAAACGTCACCAAAACACAGCGCCCCAAGGTTTGCGTTCGGGGCTGTTTTTTCTTCTTCCTGTTTTTTTTTTTTTTTTTTTTTCCCCTCCTTTCTGTTCCTCAAGCGTGACTTCCTACTAAACCTACTCTCCCCCCAGTTCCTCGTGAGGTGACACAGAAATTCACGGCAGCCCCGTCCCCCTTCTCGGGGGTCTCCAGGCACTTCCCACAAAACTTCGGGCCGCCCCCGGGGGTCCCGCCCGTGCCCCTCGCCCCGGCGCGGGGCTGCAGCAGAGCAGCACCGCAGGGATGCAGGAGCCCACGCCTCGCTGCATCCCTGGCAGAAAGGATCCCAAGGGAGCCGCGCACCCGCCATGCAGCACCGCACGGGGGGTCCGCGGGCTGCGGGACCCCCTGCCCCGCTCAGGGACCCTCGTGGCTCCCACCCCGCCCGCTCCCGGTGGGCGCACGGTAGTCTGCACTCGCCGGGTCCGCCGAGAAGAGTGCCCGGCGGCTCTGGCGGCGTGCCGAGCCGCTCGGGCTCCGCTGCGCCAGAACGCGGCAGCGAGGAATCGCTGAAGCAGAAAATGGAGGAGAAATCCTGTGTCGCTGCCGGGGCCGGCGCGCGGGGTGAGAACGCGCAAAGAGCCGCCGGGTCCGCGCGGTGCCCGGGGCAGCCCCCGGGAGGGACCCCCTCGGTCCCTGCCCTGGGGTGGCTGCTGGGAGCCAGCGCTGGGCCGTGACCCCGGCACTGCCGTGTCCCCCCCACGCAGGTGACACGGTGACACTGGCACACGGGTGTGGCAATGACCCCGGCACGGTGACCCCGGCACGGTGATCGTGGCACTGTCCCCCTCCCTGGGCAGGTGTAGCAGTGACCCCAGGACTGTGACCCTGGCGCTGTCCTCCCCCCCATGCAGGCATGGCACTGACCCTGGCACTGTCCCCCTGCAGACTTGTGGCAGCGCTGGAGTTCCACAAGGAGCTCCGTGTGGGACAGAAGCTGCCCCTGCACACCCACAGCCCCTGGTGACACGGAGAAGGGCTGAAGAGACCCCCCTGGCATATGGGGTGATCCCCTCCAGCCCCCATTCCCTGGGGGGTGTAAGTGGCCCCAAGGGCTGCAGGGGAGCTGGTGGCAGCAGGGGGTTGTCCCCATCCCCTGTTTTGAGGTGTGGGCAGCTCTGAGCTGCCACTTTGGGGGCAGACAAGCTCCCCAGGAGTTCCTGTCATCCCAGAGCCAGCGGCTGCGGGATTCTGGACACCACAACATGTGACAGTGGGTTCTGTCACTGACTGATCCTGCGGCAAATGAGTGTCACCGAGGTGTCACCGGGCAGGCAGGGGGTGCAGGGGGGAGGACGGGTGCCTCGGGGAGTTCCTGCAGCTCCACCAGCCCACACTGGGTTCTGCGGTGGATCTTTCACGAACTGCACCCACCCACCCCCTCACACCGACAGACAGATGACAGCTCCCGGGCTTGGCTGCTGGGAACAGCCTGCCCGGGTGCTGAGCTGAGACTTTCTGGTCCTGGGCTCGCAGGGCACCATCAAGGAGGAGCCCGTGGGGTGACAGAGGCAGAAATATCAGCCCAGCTCCTCTGTTTAATCCCTCAGCAGCACAGGGACTGGCTCGTGGTGCCTTCGGGAATGCTGCAGCTCCCAGACTGTGCCTCTTTCAGCAAAATTCAGCTTAAACTCATGCCTGGCTCCCTGTCCCCTCTTTTCCAGGTCCAAAATGACGGTCAAAGCTGTAAAAATGCCGTGCACCTCTGCAAACGTTTATACTAAAGTGCCTGACGGAGGATGGGGCTGGACAGTTGCTTTTGCATTCTTTGTTGTGGAAGCCCTGACATACGGCATCATAAAATCATTTGGAGTCTTCTTCAATGATCTGATGGAAAGCTTTGACGAAACCAACAGCAGGATATCATGGATAATATCCATATGTGTGTTTGTGCAGACCTTCACAGGTAAGAGGAGCAGGTGCAAGGGGCAGCTGTACTGCTGACTCAGCAAACAAGGACCCAGCACCTGTGACTTTCGTGCCTCTAATGGCTCCACTATAAATTAAATAACAGCCATAAAGCTCAGAGGCTGCACGAAATGCTAAGAAATGTCTGTCTCACCCTTTGAGCCCTGACTCATGTCCTTGCATGGTGCAGGGACATGGTCCATGTCACTGACCTCGGCCCGGCTGTTCAGGTCTCACCAGCAAGGGGCAAAAACCGGAGTTTTGAAACCAAACTCTGCAGTGAAAAGGATTAGAAGCAGCTGGAGCCTTGCTGAAATCCGCTGGTGTCTGGGGATGTGGCTGCAGGTTTGTCCCAGGGTCCCACGCACTCGTCTTTAAGTCTCTTGTGACGATTCTTTTAGCACGTCCTAAGTGCCACGAGAGCTGTGCAGCGCCCCAAGGATGGCCCCGGGGTGACACGGTGCTGTGCGGGGAGGGGGCACAACAGGGGGACCTGGGCAGGAGTGTGAGAAGAGCCTCTGGAGGAGACGTGGCTGGTGAAGCTGCTGCGTTGGGTGTTGACCAGGGCTCTCTCCCTCCCCAGCTCCTCTGTCGACGGTGCTCAGCAACCGCTTCGGTCACCGCTTGGTGGTGATGGCCGGGGGGCTGCTCATCAGCACCGGGATGGTCATCGCCGCCTTCGCCCGCTCTGTCGTGGACATGTATGTCACCATCGGCATCATCTCCGGTGAGTCATCCTCTGCTCTACCTGGCCAACGCTCCCCGTGCTCTCCTGCAGCTTCCCGCAAACCACAGGGGTTTTACCCCCCGTGACAGGGGGAGTGCTTAACGCTGCTGCCCCTCCGGAGCTGACCTCGCCCTCCTGGGAGGGGGGTTAAGCTGGGCTCTGGGCTTGGCTTTGTACCCTCTCACCCTGGGACGTGGTCCTGTGCTCATGCAGCTGTACTGGACGCTTCTCACGGACTGGGATCGCTGGGGAGACCAAACTGCTTGTGGGGTCAGATCCTCTTAACCTCTGCCTCTTTTTTTTTCTTTTCCTGATACTTTTCCCCCTCTCCAGCCTGGTCTGGGTGTCCTGCTCCCATCTGTGTCCAGGAGCTTGCCTTGCTTAGGGGAACAGTTGCTACAGCCTCAAACTCTTTAGGCAGATGAGGTCCTGAAAGTGGACCCCCCCTGGCTGCTCTGTAGCAGAAGGCATTATCTGGCAGGTTTGGGAGGCTGGGTCTCTTGGGGTTTTACTTTCCTCTTCTTTTTCTTTCCTCCCCCCTCCAATTTACAAAAAAAAATAACATTCTGGTTTCCCCAATGATTTTCTTCCAGGGTGACTTGCTGAGTTGGCCGAAATGATACTGTGTAATCACCACCGGGAAAGCCGACTTAAGGTGTTCTTGCATCGGTGTTTCCCCCTCCTTTACTTGTTGTTATGGCAATTTTTGGCATTTATTCACAGGCCTTGGATACTGCCTCTCCTTCCTCCCGACTGTCACCATTTTATCACAGTATTTTGACAAAAGGCGCTCGCTGGTCACAGCAGTGGCATCTACAGGGGAGTGTTTCGCCGTCTTCTCCTTCGCACCAGGTACAGTTGCCCACGTGCTGGGAGTTCACATGTGCACGCCTAAAGCTCAGCACTGCTCCCGTCTCCTTCTCCCAAGCAAATGGGAGCCAGAGGGGACCGAGGGAATGGGTGCCCGGGGACCTGCTAAAGCCCACAGGTTGTTGCTCACGTGCCCATGGCACTCGTGCCCTGCAGGCAGGGTGACAAATGATCCTAAGCCGGGTCTAACACTGCCTCTAACACTGCCCGAGCCGTCCCCAGCGGGATCTGCCAGCGCAGGACATGCCTGGCTGATACACAGCCCGATGGGCTCCCTATATAGATCTGGCAGGCTAAAAATAAGACAGAGAAACTTCAGCTATTTAAAACACACACAGTGCACACATAACTGCCCCTAAAGGTTAGTGGGCTTGTGCTTAGCACGGGCTGCCGAGCTGCTCCAGCCTTTTGGGGACCTGTCCCCAGGCAGCATGTCCCTGTCCCCGCCTGTCCTTGGCTGCTCAGGTGGTCCTGCTGTGCATGTGTGCTTTCAGCTAATCCCCAGTGCAAAGCTGCTTTGGTTGCACGTGAAGGCTGGTAATTCAGCAGTGACATGCACCTCTGAGTAGGGCTCAGGGACTTCCTCTGGTAGCTGGTTTCAGGGTGGGGTCAGCTGAGAGAGGAAACTTGAGTGTTGAGTTTGCACTCCTTCACTAAAAATAACACCCCCTTTATCCCCAAATTCAGAAGGGGCTGCCTAGAGGGTGGCTTCTGCTAGCCAGGTGGTAAACACAGCTTCTAGCTTTTGTCTGCCGCAGCTGAGGGGAGGAAGGTGGGTGCCAGACCCCTGAGCAGGAGGGACCCCCTGCTCAGCCTTTGCAGAGCCAAGGTGCCCGGAACCCTCCAGTGGTAAAACTCAAGTGACTTCCCCGGCTGTAAATTCAACTCCTTGATGTAACTGCAGGCTTTCCTAGTTACACTTTCTTCTTCCTCTTGCCCTCTTCCCTCAGCAATCACAGCTCTGAAGGAGCAGATTGGCTGGAGATACAGCCTGCTTTCTGTCGGGGTGCTGCAGCTTGGCATCACCGTCTGCGGGTCGCTGCTGCGACCCATCATCATCAAAGAGCAAGAAGAAGTGAAAGCACAGCCTCCAGAAGAGTCCACCGAGACAAAGTACATGCTTGAAAATGAGCAAACATGCACCTCAATAGAGTCCATAGACTCAGGAGTCGATATAACTACCTCACCCAGCAATGTGCCTGGAAAAACCAAAGCAGAGCCGAAAAGTGAAGAACCAAAGCAACACGGACAGATTCCCGTTGAAAATAACAGCACCCCTCCAGAACCAAAAACCAAACTACTGGACTTCTCTGTGATGAGAGACTATAGCTTTATCTGTTATGCATTCTTTGGCCTGTTTGCAACCCTGGGCTTCTTCGCTCCCTCCCTCTACATCATCCCCCTGAGTCTCAGCCTGGGCATCGGCAAGGACCACTCGGCGTACATCCTGTCGGCCATGGCCATCGCCGAGGTCTTCGGGAGGATTTTTGCTGGCTGGGTTCTCAACAAGAAGCCCATCCGCAAGATCTACATCGAACTCATCTGTGTCATCCTGCTGTCTGTAGCATTGTTTGCCTTCCCCTTTGCCTCCGAGTTCTGGGGCTTGATGACATGTAGCATTTATTTTGGGTTCATGCTCGGCACGGTGGCGGGCACACATATTCCCCTCCTGGCAGAAGACGATGTGGTTGGCATTGAAAAGATGTCTTCTGCAGCTGGAGTCTACGTCTTCATTCAAAGCTTAGCTGGGTTGGCTGGACCACCCATTGCAGGTAACTCTCAAACTTTGATCTTAATTTGTTTTTTGAAATGTTTGACAGCTGTTGGTGCTGATCTCTGCCTAGAAAGGGTTCTGGCAGCGCTAATCACAGCACTATCCTAAGAGCCCTGCAACTACTATTAGAGACTCTGGGAGCCAGAAGACTGCTGCAATGCAGCTCTGCAGAGTCCCACGGATGAGGCAGTCTCCACTGAGGAACCTCAGAGGGAAGGGAAATACTGCAGTGCTACCCTGATCCTGTTAGAAACCCAAACCTGGCATCACTTCAGGCTCTAGCGACCAGCAGAGGCGAATCCCTCTTGCTGTGCCTGTGTCTGTGCCACACACTGCAGAGAGGGGAAGTCTCTATCAGAACAAACAGATGCTTGATGCATTTCGGGCTTAGAGTCCCTGCGGTGCCCAGAGGCTTCTGACTTGCCTGAAGATGACACCACGTACCCCTGAACACAGTGGGTTTACTTTTTTAAAGTGGCATCTGTTTATCACTGAGTTCTGCCTGCAGATGAAGCGATGCAGAGGCACCAGGATAAAAAATCTGCAGGAAGGACGGCTGGGCAGGGGAGAGGGGGAGTTGGCTGGGTCTAACTGCTGTGATTGTTTTTTGTAGGTGTCTTAGTGGATACGACAAAGAACTACAGCTCAGCCTTCTACTCCTGTGCTGCTGGCATGGTCCTGGGGGCTGTGTTTCTGGCCCTGGTGAGGCCGTGCAAGACTGGGCTGTGCCGCCGCCACCGCCACCACCAGCAGCAGCAGCAGCAGGTGGAGGAGAGCCCACCAGGGCCCCCACCAGAATTACCAGATGACTTTATAGACATGGATATTGGAAAAGCAGAAAATTCAGGAAAAGGCTCTGACAGCGTGGTATAAAAAAAAAAACAAAAACAAACTCTGTTCCTTTCTCCATCTAATGTACTCGGCGTAAGGCTGGGGAAAATGTCAGCTCTGCTCCACGTTTTAAAACTACATTCTAAAGGGAATGTGAAATTTTAAATGTGAACAGTTGCTACCGACAACTTTTTTTTTTTTTTTTGTTAAATATTAGACAGAACTTTTTTAACCAACAATGGAAAGCTCCATAGAAAATACGGATAGCCACGTAAAAATAACTCCTGTCTAGCATGAAGATGTGATGCACACTCTTGCTTTCCTGATAACAAGCATAGGTAAAGGTTCAACTGATCCCATAAATACTGACAACAGCAACAGCAGAAGCAGCTCAGCCTCTGACTGTCACCCATCCCCTACCACAAATTCCACACAGACCAGAAACCGATGATACGAACTGGAGACAAGCATTTCATACACCACCAGTAGCCAACTGAATCTTCTGGAGGGATACAGACTCATGTTTTAGCTTTGAGGAGGAGGCTAGGCTAGATAGCTGACACTTAGAAACCATTGCTAATGATCTTAACTTGAATGTCACAAATGCTGGGAAATCAAAGGCTCCGTGTCTCTTTATGGCCAGTTTTTACTGCACGTATTTTCCTGAGATCATTTTTCTTCTCCTGATTGGGATCCCTAGAACTGTTTTCTATTGATAGTCAGATCTGATGTACTGTTTCTAATTTAACTAGTATTTATTAATTTATTCTGAGATTGTTAAAGGAGGTTAGCTTAAATAACTGGAGAGGAAAAATGATCTTCTGCATAACGGAAAGCTGTCTTTACATCATTCTCTTCAATGCCTATCTTGTATTGCTTGTGAAATTGTTGGGGAAATTACTTTTACAGCATAAAGTGTAGCTGTTTTCAATAGGTAAGTCTTAAGTAACCCAGTTATTTAAAAAGGAAAAAAAAATAATAAACTACAGATCCAGCATCTCTTTCCACGGAAAAAGGCTCAGCAGGTGCCAGTGGACGTGGCACCACTGCAGAACCAGCCCACCCCGCAAGGAGGATTTGGCCCAGTGTGTCTTAATGTACCCAAAACCCTCGCTCACAGGTGCACCAGGAAACCTCTGCCTCACCCCCGATGGAATGTGGACCCCCACGTCACCCCCTCACTCCCCACATCTGTGGGGTCACGGGGCGGCCGGGCCGAGCTGCACCCCCTTCCCCAGCTCTCCCTGCTCCCCCAAAAAAGGCAGCAAGAGGCTTTGTTTTGGTTTTTTTTTTTTGCTGCTGACATCAGTGAGAAGCGAAGTGGAGCCTGTGCACCTCGATGGCACGAAGGGAACAACAAAAGACAACGGAGGAGCTGTTCATTTAGTCTTAACAGGAGAGATTCCTGCTCACGGTGACACGAGCTTGCTTACCCCACCTATATGCATCTTCTCGCCTCTAGGCAACTCAGGGGGACAAATCAAAACAAGTCTGTTTCGGTTTGGAAGGAAAGCCAAACCACCATTTCTGTGTATTTCAAGTGGAAGTGGCATCATCCATTAACTGCTACGCTGACCTGTCTGTGTTTTACCAGCCATAAGAAATGTGGGACAATCTGTGTAAAAAAAAGAAAAAAAACAAACAAAAAAAAAACAACAACAAAAAAAAAAGAGAACAACCTCTTTTTGGGAAGGTGCTTGATTTGTTTTTTTTTTCTGTCTTAGATGTCCGGGAAAGAAAAAAAAAAAAAAAAAAAAAAAAAAAAAGGAAAAAAAAGAGGAAAAAGCAAAAAAAAAAAAAGAAGAGAAACAGGCACTCTTGCAAGTGGCTGGAGCAATTCATCCTCACTGCCCGAGACCCGCGGTCTCGCGTCCTTCCTCTGCCTCAGCACTTTATCACGGCCAGCAGAACCTCGCTGCGTTGCACCCAGGACTGGAAGACCCCCCCTTACAGAGAACTAAGAGTTGTGTGAAAATCAGCGATTAACGAACAAGTAACCACGTCGCGTTAAAAAAAGATGTGCTTTTTTTTTTTTTTTTTATTTATTGTTTTAATTTATGATACTTCAAGCGTTTTGGTAAACGTTCTGTAGCCTGTAATTGTAAGGTTATTGAAGTCTTTGTGACACGAGACCTCACTACAGCACTTTGCTATTCCAACTGCTTGGAAGTGGAAATAAGGCCTCCAGGTTTTGCGTGTGTGTGGAAGCTCCCTGTTCTGCAGATTTGCGAGGTTCTACTGTAACTTAGGTTTGGTTGTTTTGGTTTTTTTTTTTTACAACATTTTCCAATACAGATCAAATAATATGTATGTCACTGACCTCACAGTCCATTTCTGTTCCTGTCTGTGTAGCAGCACGAGCAGGGGAGCGAGTGATGAGTATGTGTGTGTGCGGGCGCAGCAGACCCACAAGCAGGATTTACTGATTTGTTTGTAACGTACCCAGTGGACTCTGGAAATACTCTAAACACTGAGACTTGCAATAAACTCTTTCTTTTTTTTCTTGGGTTTTTATTTTCCCCCTTCTTTTTTTTTTTTAAATAATAAACACGGTGAAGAAACTTTCCTCCTCTCCCTCTTCTCCATCCCTGGGGTGTCCCAAAGCCTTCTCCCTGCGGGTTTGTTGCGGGATCAAGCCCGTTGCATCCCCTCCCAAAGTGCTCTCCCAGCGTGGCTGTCACAATGCCACTTCTCCAGCCTGAAGTGGCTGTGCTTTCCCTGCACATTGGGCAATCCGAGTTCTTTAAATGAGCTGCCTGGAAGCTGTGGATTAGCGCTGACCTCAAGGGTGCTCTTGTAAACTCTTACCCGGGGAGCCCTGATTAGAGGGAGCCTTTTCTTCTCCTGAGTGGTGCCTGAATTGGTGGCACTTAGGAACATTACCCTCGTGCCTTCAAGAAGCACGCAATCATGTAATTATTTTATCATCTCTGAATTGCTGAATACTTTCCCCATGCCGGGCTAAGCAACTTGTGTATCAGAAAATCTACTTAAAAAAAAAAAAAAAAGCCACTAAATAGCAGAACAGTCACACTAAGGAGCAATTTTCTCTCCCTCAAACCTAATTTCTTTTTACGCCAGAGAGAGACGCCCTTCCCCGCTTACCCCGCGACTCCCAACGTCACCAAACCCTCCAAGGAGTGACTGCCACAGCCCAAATATCACTGCATGCATTAGATTTGCAAATGAACTACTTGCTGAAGGAATCATCACAGCCGCTGATGTGTGTTAAGAACGATCTGTTTTCGTTCTGGTTGCAAAAGTCCTAGAACAGAGGTGATCCGTGCATGCAAGCAGGGCAGACTCCAGCACAAATACCAAAGTCTCGGGAAGCTAATCTGTCCAAATTTGACTCTGACTCAACTGCAGCAGTGAACAAACATTATTTGCAACAGTTTCCTCTAAAACAACCCCCTCAAAAAAAAAGGCGTTACAAAGGCTGCGCACAGTTCACATAAATAAAAGCAACATTTAACTGTAGCACTATCAGATGTCTCTGCCTGCACAGAAAGACTTTAGAGTCGTTTTTCCCACCTGGTTTACATTAATTGCCCGTGACCTTCTCTGTTATCCTGGTACAAAGGCATTAAGGCCAGAACAAAATAGGATAAGAACATATTTATTCAAGTAGCACTGCATGTCTACTTTGTACCAGGGTAAATAAGAGGAGAATGTGAGGCAGGACTTGCTTTAGCAGTCCTTGCTATTCCTCTCCAAAAGGCTTGTATAAACTCTTGCAGTCAATGAGGCCAGTGACAGCCAAATGTAAATAGAGGAAATTACACAAGGTCAGCTTGGGGGAGGCCAGAAGCCCTCAGACCGTAGGTATCTGTCCTTTCTAAAGCAGAAAGGAAGCTGGAAAGTGGGGGGTTGTTTGTTGGTTTGGGGTCTTTAAAAAAAAAAAAAACAACACCAAAAAACAAACAAAAGACAAACCCACTTTTTCCATTTGAAATTAAAAGGAAGGGGAGCCTCTTGTTCTTTTTGCATTTATTTTGGCTAAGTTGACACCAGGTTCTTAAGGGGACAAATGAATCTTTAAAAATAGCTCAGCTGGTTCTGGAAAGAAAGCAAAGTAGGTGCTTACAAAACAGCCTGAATGTTATAACGCGTCCCTTCAGATGTTACTTGTTACCATCTGAGATCATCGTGTTCCAGCTGCCTGTAGTAAACATGACCTGAATTCTCACAGTGATGCAAGCCCAGCAGCAGCCACCCCGTCCTTCCTTCCTCTTCAAAGCTCATCCTAAAGATGCTTCACAGGTTGGGTTTAGGGAAACACCCCTTTAACTTCTGGCTTGGTTTGAGGGCTGGGGGAGCAAGCGCTGCTGCCCAGAGGGATTGTGTTATACGTGATGCCCACATCAAAAGACAGGACACTTCAGGAAGAAATTCAGGAGGAATTTCTTCATGGAAAGGGTGGTCAGGCCTTGGAAGGGGCTGCCCAGGGAGGTGGGGGAGTCACCATCCCTGGAGGTGTCCAAGGAATGACTGACTGGGCATGGCACTCAGTGCTCTGGTTTAACTGACATGCTGGTGTTTGGTCAAAGACTTGATGATCTGGCAGGTCTTTTCCAACCCTGGTGACTGTATTCTGTGATTCCATGACCCCTGGTTCCCACTGGGACCCTGCACCAGACACACACAGGAAAGGCTCCTGGGCATTCCAAGCTGCTGTTGGTTCCCAAAGCCAGTTTGCAGCCGTGATGCCCTTGTGCTTCCCACCAATCCAGGCCTCCTCTGGGCATCCTGGCAGCAAACCACACAGTTTCCCCCTCCCCAGTTTCATTCCCATGGACTTCTACTTGCAGGATCTGCAAATCTGCGGCCGCACCAGCATAAAGCTCACTCTGCAAATTGCAGTAAGTCATCTAATAAATCAAATGCAATCCCCCCCCTCCCTCCCTCCCTACTGCAGTCGACGAGCTCCAGTTACAACAATTTGTGGTAAAATATTACTCACCAGCACTTTGGCCCGTGCGAGGCAGCTCTGCCTCGGTACAGACAGCCCCTAAATCACAGCTTTGTCACAGAAGCCACAAGCATAACCAAAAGACTTATTACACGCAGACACTCGGAGGAGAAGGCCAAGGAGACAATAGTTCCCTTTGCTTCCTTTTGTCAGAGCTTTCATTAATGTCGTGAACGTCTTTTTTCTGCTTTGTGCACTGCTGGGTGCTTGCCACACTCAGCCTGGCACAGGAGCAGCCCAAACCAGCCCCAAGGAGCCTGAGAGATGGCAAACCAGGGTGCTGAGCATCACCCTGTGTTCCTGCTCTCCCAGCAGGGCTGGTACCCCCAGTCCTGCCCCTCTGCTCCCCTGATTTCCTTCAATCTCCACCAGTTTGCCCATGTGCTACGGGAAGTTATGAAAATTAGGCATTTTTAGCACTTCAAGGCTTTTGCCTTTTGCTGTGATGTGGCTGATAGTTGTTTTTTTTTTTTTCACATGTTGCAAAATGAGACAAAGACCCAAAATCACCAGTGAAGAGCAAAGGCCATTTTTGTGATTATACCTGGGGTTGGAGGATGTCAGGAGACAGGCACGGGGGGCACAGGGCAGCACCAGCACTGCCAGAGGGGGCTTTCCTTTCCCACTGCTGCCCATGCACAGTAACAGGGGGATGAACCTGCCTACACTGAGCACCCTCCTAAAATCCTGCTGAGCACCCTCCCAACCACCACCCTGGGATTGAGGGAACAGGGTCAACTCCCCTCACCCTTTCCTAAGCCCCTCACTCCACCTCCCTGCCATGATGAGAAGGAAGGTTTCCCTCAGTGGGTATAAACTGTAAATTAATGACTAAGTAATGCAGTGATAGATGAAGATATGTGAAAAGGTCCAATTCTGACATCACCACTCACACAAATGTGCCACTGGAGACTTTTATCTGCTCCAGGCAAAGCCCTTGGCCAGAGCCACCCAAACCCTTCCCCTCACAGGTCCTCAATCTCCCTTCCTTTGCCAGCAGTGACCACCCCATGGCCGTGTGTCCCAGCCAGAGCACAGCAGTGACTTGGGGACACCACGACACACGAGGCCATTCCTGCTCCAGGTGCTGTATCCACAGGCAGGAGCTGGCACAGCAACTACTATCCTTCCACATTCTCACACTGCATCCTCCTGGAGAACCAGGAGTGAAAGCAGGTTCTGGTTTGCACAGAGAGGAGGGAGGAGCAGAGCAAGGTGCCCTCCACATCCTGGCACCAGAAGCCAGGCTCGCTGCGGGATGGGATGAGTCCCTGTGGATGCAGGACAGGATGTTCCTCTGCTGCTCCTCTGAAAGCAGCACTTTTGGCACAGCTCAGCCTTTGCCAAACACCGCAACGTGCACACCAGGAAAATGAAAACTGGAAACGTGGAGCAACAGCTTGGAGCTGAACCCCAGAAAAGCCAGCTCCTTCCCACACACTGCCGGGCTCCCTGCCTGCCCTGAAATCACTCCCTTCCCCTCCTCCTGCTGCAGCCCCAGGGCCCTGGTGTGAGCCCCAAGTTCACTGTACCCAAAACCGGCCCCAAACACCCCGTGGCAGTATCTCCCTCACACACATCCCCGGGCTGCAGCCACAACACTTATCAGCCCCGGCCAGGCACAGCCCTGCCCTGTGCCAGGGCACCCCAGGGCT